ATGTCCCAGGTTTTGGAAGTGGTCCTAGTAATCTGAGTGGGCCATCAAGTTTTGGAGGAGGGCCTCAAAACTTTGGGAATGGGCCTGGTAATTTAGGTGGGCCTCCTAGTTTTGGAAGTGGCCCTCCTGGTATTGCAGGTGGTCTTGGACATTTAAGTGGACCTCCAGGGTTTGGACCTGGACCTGGAACCTTACATATTAGTGGACCCCCTGGTTTTGGAACAGGTTCTGGAAAACCAGGGCCAACTGTCATTAAAGTGCAAAACATGCCTTTTACAGTATCAGTGGATGAAATTTTGGATTTCTTTTATGGTTACCAAGTGATCCCAGGTTCTGTGTGTTTAAAATACAATGAAAAAGGTATGCCAACAGGAGAAGCCATGGTTGCATTTGAGTCTCGTGATGAAGCAATGGCAGCTGTTGTTGATCTAAATGACAGACCTATAGGTTCAAGAAAAGTCAAACTTGTTTTAGGGTAGCTGTTCGTATAAAATGTTTGTAGAATAGTTATTCATAGTGCTGTGATTAATTCATCCAGATTGTTTTTATAGTATTTCCAGGCTAGAACCTGTGGATTGTTTAAATTGTAAACGGTGGATTGTTTAAATTGCAAATAAATTTGTTTTGATAAGGCAGAGCACTGGTTTAACCATTTACAAAAGAATCACTGCAAGGATAAGTATGCAGTGAATTTCCCAGTACATATGTGTGGAAAAGGCAGATTCTTATTCACTAATTGAAATGTTTGCTAAAGCTAAATTGGCCACATAATGCTTATCAAGGAATCTAGATTGGTTTTATGTAGGTACAGATAAGGGAAATAGATACGTATTAAGATGAAGTCAGTGAGTGAGTGCTATTGCAAGCCACTGTAAAACGAGATAGCTAGTCCTAGATTTGGTTAAAAGCTGGCTGAATTTGCTTTGTTACAGGTCAAAGCTTGTTTAAAGTCCTGATTTTACTTTGCAACTGAATGAATTCTCAGTGTACACAAATTAACTGTTTTGTGTATGTACTTTTATTGTTTTTCAAAGGTTCTTGCTGTATGTGAACAGTCAAATTATGCACATTGACAGTGTGTCTACCAAACTAATTCCTATGCATATGAGCAGAACTGTTTTGTAAAATTCAAGCTGTTCTTTGTGGAATAACCTTTAGTTATTTTTATTGTTGCAATTAAAACTGTGCAGAATAAGACTTTTGCCACAAGTATAGGTATAACCTGAAGTATATTGAGTTGACTGTTTTCTTAAAATTGAATTATAAAGTTGATGCCATATAAGCAACAACTAGAAAATGTTCATCATTGTTTAAGTAGCTTGATTTGTTAGGATTACATAAATCAGTTGGGATAGGATTTTCAGCACTAGTAGGGCTATTGAATGTTGTAGTTCTAACCTGTTGAACTACTCACATAGACTGTCTCATTTAAGAGACCCAAAGGAATTTATATTACTAGAAGATTGGAATCCTCTTAGTTTTAAGAATAGTGTAAAATGTGAAAGATTTTTGGAATTACCTGTGACTCTGGATATTTCTACAAGACTCTTCAGAGACTAAATTTTATTTGAATCTACTTCCTTTGAGTGTATTGTATATTTTTCAATAAAGTTGTTTAATTCCAATTCTGTAAAGAATTGCTAGTTTCTTTGCTGTTCAGTAAAGCCTTTAAAGGAGAATAAAGAATTAGAACACAATTATACAAACGAGTAAAAAGTAGAATTTGCAGTTTGTCTATACTTAGCTTATAAAAATTCAGAGTCTTGGTCTGAAAATTCTACTGTTCCCTGCAAATCATTGTACTTAAACACAGCAGTCTATAAACTAACCTGTTGGTTGAAGAAAAATGGTGCCTTTTAGTGTTGCATATCATGGAACACTTGAAGTATGTAGCCTGGTATAATTTAGAGGTGCAAGTGGCAACAGTTTTATTCATGTGGTCTGTAGGAGAGATTTGAAATCCTGTGCAACACTACATCCTGAGAGGATTTCACAGTACAGGAATTTTTGGAAGGATTGTATAAAGGTGTACTACAATAAAGAGAGGCGGTTGCATTACAGATGCTTTTGTAATTCATGAGTATAAATTTGTTTTGACCGATCACTAGGTGGCGCTCCCTGACTTTGGAAAAGTGATGTGATTGTATATACTGTTTAAAATTAAGCCTCCTGTTAATAAAACTGTCTCTGAAAATTCATGTTATGCATTTTAACAATCTTTGGGGATATTGTTTCAACAGCAGACTTTTTTTCTTTGAAAGGCTGAAAGTTCCGTTACTGATGTCGGAAAGATGCGATATTTGAATAGGAGAGAAGTCTTTCAGTTTATTTTTTTTATATTTTGCTCTGTTCCTAAAACAGTACATTTTATTAAAATTTCATACTATATTGCAGTTATTATTTGGGTGCTGTTTCTTCATATTTCATACTGGAATAAAAATCTTGAAAAGGAAAACTTGCCTTCATTGTTCACAGAATTAATTCAATTAAGAATTTTAGTATGTGGCTTGCAGAAACTTGTGGTTATTGTATTTCAAGCTTGAATGAATCACAGCAATGCATTTCTTGTTGTGGAATGTAATTAAACTACTGGTATCTGGAATTTGATTCCTTGTACATATAAGATTTAATACAGTGCTGTGCAACTTGTTTCTCTTGGTATTTGGGAGTGGGTTTTTTGGTATAACTTTCAAAATACTCTAGATATTGCTTTCACTGTGAATATGTTCGTACACATATTCAGACTTTCTAACAAGTTGCAGGTTTGTGTTAGAAATTTATTTTTTTTGGTTATTTTTAATTTTCTGTATTGTCTAAGGGATCTGTAAAGCTGTTTCATGCGTTGTGCATTTGTAAATGCTTTAATTCTGTTTTCAAAAATGTATGTAAATGTGTTTGGAAAGGAGCTTTCTAATGAAGGGTTTGCGTTTTGTTTTCTATATCTGGCCAAATAGCTGATATGCTCATTGTCCTTTAGTATAAAGGTTAGTAGATATATACCTGTTAGTAAATTGTGGATTTCACAACAAATATTAATAATCCTCTTTACCTAGAGTTTTGAGATGTATTTCATATAAATACTGTAGTTGTACACTTTTATAACAGTTAAATGGTAATTTCTTAAAGCTAGTGTAAAATATGCATTGGACTAAAATTAGTTGCAAACATCGATTATACCCAAAGTTGCTATGGCAGCTTTTTCATGTTAGTCAAACTGGACTAAACTGTTAAAATCAAGAATTGAACATTTGGGATACCATTTACCCAGAACTTCACAGAAAAAAAATTGAGCTTGCAGGTGTCAGCTAGCAAGAGAAAGACATTAGTAGATGGTGGTGGCAGCCTAGTGGCCATTAGTTATTACAATTAGGGCTGCTTCTCAGTTACTTTGGCTAACTTGAAATTTTAAAAACAAGTTTAGTCTGAAGTGTCTAAATATCTGGCCTTTTGACTCAGAAAAATGTATCACGTGTGGCAGTGTAATACCTTATTTTAAGACTTGATGGGAAAGAATTATTAGTATCAGGTGTCACCATCATATTCAATCTAAGTTTTTTCTGTTTTTGAAGTAGTTTAATAAACATGTTATAAAATACACAAGATGCTGTTTTTAATATTCCAATAAAGAATGTTTTCTTGCACAACAGAAATAATTTTGGAAAAGCTAAGATTTTATTAATAAAGGAATACTGTCATTTAAACATCTAAATATTAGTAATTGGGGTTCTATTGGTTTGGAATATTGAAGGTTATATTCCGTACCATCCATCTTCTGTTGGAGCAGGGAGAAAAATGGGTAAGCCAACAAGTTTGCCAGTTCATACTGAGCTTTTGAGAGATTCACAAATAGACCGTGAGTTTTGCTTGTTTTTTGGCTGCAGTTTAGAACTCACCTGTGTTCTATTAGGATATGTGAAAGAAATAAATCTTATCCAGTTGCTGTTGGGCTTTTTTGGGGGGAGGGAGGGGATTTTTTGTGGAATTCCTACTAAAGGATAACTACATTTCAGTTAACATTCACTTTTATGAATTCCATAACAATTGTCATTTGATTTTTAGTTTTGAGGTGGAGTTTCCAATCTCTTAAACTAAATCTCTGTAGCACATGATGGCAGAATCAAAGGGCTTCAGTTTTTTTCTTCAAATCTAAAATCTAGTGTTGATGGAATTCTATAGTACAGTGAAACCTTTGTTATCCGGCACTCTGTTAACCAGAAAACTTTGTTAATCGGCATTGCTCCTAGCCATAATACTGTCACATCTTCAGATGCACAAGCCTGGCTTGGTTTACCATGATTGGCTTAACAATTTTTTATTTAAGAAGTACTAATCATCTTTAACTCAAAATAGAAATGTGAGACCAACTGCCTGACGCTACAAAACTACCAATATTAAAAACCTGAGTTTTACTATTATTGTCCATTGGTTTTTTTTCTAGGTTGTTGGGGACCCTCAGATAACTGGAATTTCTAGATAAACTGGAATGCCCTAATCCCCATGCATGCAGGATAACACAGGTTTTACTGTATGTGTATGTCTTTAGCAATACGATTGCTTGATCGCAATGATTTTTACTGAGATTCAGTAACTGAACAGGAAAACATTAAAATACAAAAGAACTGTCAAACTAAGACTTTCAGAAAGTAAATTTTAAAAGTATTTGCTCATCCTTTATATAAAAAATTTCTTTTAAAAAATCATATGCATACTGTTCTCCTGCTTGTTCATTGAGGGTCAGCTTTCATAAGGGAAAATGTGCAAGTCTAAGAGCAATGCCACCCTTTTTTTTTCCCCTCTCAAACTCATGCCTGCTGCCTCTTCAGTGTGTTTAGATTAAATTGGAAAATCCTGTTGCTGGACCTTGAAGAGTAGTGATAGAGACCTTCTGTGCATAGAGCAGTGCTTGATGTCCTACTAGAGCATGGAATGGAAATTTAGCTAACATCAGCAAATCAGGAAAAGTGTCTACCAAAGGGTGTCATGCACAAAGTACAACTTTTTTCTAACTTCTGGTAATAAGATTTTCATTGTAGGGAGGCACAGTTGTCAGTTTATTTTTCTTTAAGATTTGGCTTCCCTCAAAATAAAAAAATCTTTCAGTTGCTAGTATTTACTCCATAACTGAGGTTTGTGGCTCTTCTGCACAGTTCCTTCTAGGTGTCTGCTTGTCTGAATGTGCTGTAGTTCTTTTTCCATAAAGATGATTTTTCTGACTCAGAGGTGTCCTGTGGCACCTTTAAGACTAACACATTTATTTGGGCATCAGCTTTTATGGGCTGGAACCTGACTCAGTAGATCTCAAAGGTTTATTTTGTTTACAAATAAAGAGGCCTGGAATTTCCTTGTTCTGGGGACTGTTCCCACGCCCTGGGTCTGAATGTTCTTGGTTCAGGACTTCTGTCATTTTAAGTTTGAATATTGACTTGACAATAGTTTTATAAGCTTACCTCTCCTTTCTTTTAATACACTTCTCTCTAGTTGCTCCAGAGTGCCTCAGCTTATGGTTCATGTGTGTCAAAATGGATGGGTTAGCCTACACCCTTCATTCTCTACACTGGCAAAGTTGTCTGCAGGTTCCTGTATGTGGTGACCCTCAATTTTTTTCTCGGCGCAGTCCCAGTGGGACTCTTTTTTTTCTCTCTCTGTGGGGGAGGAAACGAAAAAAGATAATATTTCTAGGGACCTTACAGCATCATAGATTTTAACTTAAATTTGCTTGTTTTCTCAGCTTTCAAATTGTGAAATGTTCTCATGTTGTATATGAAATTGTTCTCAAGTGGAAATGTTGCCATATATACCAAAATAAGATATAGAGCTGAGTAAAAGATGCTCCTCTTAAGAAGATTGATTTGCACCAACTCAGTTTTTATAGCCTACAGATTGAATACTTGAAAGTGAGAAGATGGTTGTATGTTCCCTCTTTGGTAAACTTATTTTGCTCATTTCTTATTACCTGTGAACTACTGTGGCTGTTTCTTACTTCATTTGTATATTCAGTTACTACAGCTCTGGGAATAGGTTTTAATGAGTATTTTCCTGGCTGACTCCATGGCCATGCAGCACAAAACTGTACAGTGAAGACAATGGATGAAAAGTACAATTTTTCTTTAGTCTCTACAATGGGAGAGGTGTAGGATCTGTCTCAGTGCAGTGAATACAGGAAACTTCACTTAGCCAAGTACTCTCTTCGGACCTATCACTGTAGAATATGTATAAATGGTGACTTGAAAACTTCATGATAGTCTGCACATCAGTAGAAATCCCATATTCAGCCAAAATTGAAGGCAGGTTTGGGTAGAAACTGAAAGTAAATTAGTTTATACTAGTTAAACCAAACAAAAAACGTCTTTGCTAACTGTGTGAAAGATTGAACAATTGTGATTTTTTTCAGAAGTCAAGAATTCATACTTTGTCTAGTTTTTCGTGTACTTAAAAGGCGCTCGTTGCTACAATATCTGTGACTTGATCTTTTAACTTTTAATCAGGACTTTTCCATAGTAGCTGAAATTTGCATCAAAATCTAAGCTTATTTTTAAAGTGTGTTTAGTTCCTGTGGCTGTGAAGAAAACCTTAACTGTGAATAGTTTAACTATTCCCTGCTTTGAAACAATACATATGAAGGAAGTTCAGTGCCCTTACTTACTTTAATGGGAGTTTAAACAGTGAAATGTAAAGATGGCAACCTAATTGTCTTCATTATTTTATTGATTGTTTTAACAGAAACATCCGGGTATTGTTTCAATACCAGTGGGTTCCATTCCGTATATTTTGAAGAAGTCAAAAGCTCATACGCACTGGCATTTAAAATCTGCCGTAAAATGAAAGCTGAATGTTATGAGATAGCATTAATAATTTAAAAAGGCTGCTGATTAGTTTATTTTCATAATTAATCAAATACCATCTCCATTTTAAAATACCAGTAAAGCTGGCCTAAAAATTCCAGACTGCCATTCCAGCAGAAATTAGGTTCAGTTCTGCCATGGAATAAGTGGAGCCTTGCTTATAACACCATTCATTTACTAAGAACTTTTCCTTCTCAGGATCTTATTGAGATTGGGTAAGTATTATGAGTCTGCTTCAGAATAAACCCTGGATGGAGAAGCGATGACCTGAACTACTGACGCTAAAGTCAGTGGCAGGTTAGACTATTGAATACTTTTTTGTCTTCAACTGGATGGAATGTCTGCCTTAAGTTTCACTTCTAGCAGTGGTTAAATGTACACTGTCAGGTCAAATGTAGTCCAAAATGTAGGCTTTCTTACAAGTTTTAACAAGGATATTAGAGAAGTTAAACCTATTCTATTTTTACAAAAATATATTTTCTTTAAATGTAAACATAGCCTGCCATTTATGTAATCTAAATATTGGAGCATTGAGCAAGTGGATGAGAACTAGACAGCAAAACAAAACTGAAAGGCTAATAAATATGTTCACTATTTAACATAATCCCAAATGGGAAAGGTTAACTCATGGAAAAATAGGCAATGTAGGATTTTCAGAGTAGTTCATTGTTGGCTTAAATCTGCTCCCATTTAGTGAAGGATAAAATATATTAGCTTCAGTGGGAGCTGTTAAGCCAGTGCTGAGCGCTTCTGAAA